TCAAAGTGCTGCCGAGTACTGGAGATAGCGCAAAAAAGCGGAAGGCGTCGTCAACTATCAAAAGTGTAAAGAAAAACACCATTACCAAAAGAGGCAAGAAATAGATGAGCTTTTTTTCAAATCACGCATTGATGACGTAATTCATTGTAATGGTTAAGGATTAACCGCAATCATTTGTAAAGGGCGACGCCTTTCGATATCATCATAAGATTCTACACTTAAACACATTCCACTACTTATACAATGAACATACCAGTCCAGCTAGCGGTTTAGCCTCAATTAAATATCGGTCGTACGGCTTTTTATAGTCATGGCGAAGTCGCAAAACATCTCGTATGGCGTCTTATATGCAACATTCAACGGCTCCACTGCTTCGATCGTTCTGCAAGCCATACAAGCCCATGGCAAAGTATCGTCAACACGAAGGCTACATCCGAGCGAGACGATTCTTCCGCCTCCTCATGGATAGCACGAAGAAGCCCTGCGGCATATTTAGAAAACGCGGGAACTTCACAGATAGCAGCAAGTTGATTATTGAAATCACGGGTACGTTCATTTCGCTCCGTTACGCTCCGTACAGATCCACACTGTTGTTCCCGAAGCCTCTGCACCCGAGCCATCGTGACGCCTTTCATTTCTTTACATACTAATTCCATGAAAAGATCCCCATCGATGCATGTACATTCAGCATTTTTGATTGAGGACAACACGTCTTGGAACTCATGTAGACCCAGCAAAGTTGGCTCTAAGTGACGCAGGTGTGCCATGATGACAGGAAATGCGAAATACGAACCCTCCGTAAAAATACAGTCAAAGATGCGGAACACAGTTTCACTCGGAAAAGTTGTTGTAAATAGACACAAAAGCCATTGTGAGCCCAGGAGCTCAAGCGGAAGTCCCATATCTAAAGCAAAGTTGTCTAGTAGCGGAAGCTCCTCAGCAACTAATTTCTTCATCACCAACATGTCCCTCTGGACACCGCACATCGTTTGGCAGTAGAAATCCGGATACAAATCTTCGCAAAAGACACTTAAAAGCCAAAACACATTTTCTTCATCCGCCATCAATAGCAAAAAAGCTACAATAAAGTTCAAACCTTGGCAATACCCCACACGTGGATTGCGCAGAGAATAGGCCTGAAGAATCCGTCGTAGACGACTGCGACCCGACTCGGAGCTTATTGTCGTGCCAGAATTTCCAAAAGTACGATTAATATCCAGTTCAATTTGGCAAAACGTCTCCAAGTCCATTTTCTCAGCTTTTTCTACAAGATCAGCATAATAATTATGCCCTGCAATCGCCTGCTTCTCGCTCGCGCCAGAAAGATTTAAGTACGCGGATTCTCGCATATGACGTGGAATACCAGCCCTAGTGAGCTGCATCAGCAGAGCTTTCTCCTCACTATCTTTCGCCTTGTATGAGCACCGGCGTAAACGCTCGGGTAATTGTGTACTAAACAATTTTGTCCATACTTCGACGCGTCTCTCCTCTCGACAATCTTGATAAGAGCGTAAATGTACCCAATCCTTCCTAGCTGCCAACGGTATCGTGAATCCGTAAAAGTCACTCATAGACTTCGACATTAAACGGCTTGCATGCGCTTCAAACAGCATCGCTCGATCTTGTGCAGTTAGCGGCTTCTCCGTTTTTTCCACCCAAATAGTGCGGATCCGCACCTCTCCCGTTCTCGTACCACCTAGACTGTACCAGGAGTCGGTTACGACTTTCGTCGGCTTGCAAAGTGAAGTCAGATTAATTTCTAGAATGCCTAGCATCTCATCATCGGTATGCTTCGCCGCATTCATCACAGTTTCTTCACCAACCAAAGACATAAAAACATCGTCGTCTCCGATAATTTGATCAACTTCGTCTTCCTCCTCCGAAAGAGTGACCACATCGTCACTGTCACTATCATGAACTCCTATGACTCCATTCACGATGGTGTGTGAAGTAAAAGCTGTCTGCTTATGCTCCGTTCCGATTGAACACGAAGCGTTCTCTTCTCCTTCATGAAACAAAGTGTTGCTACCGAATGGGAACATGTCAAAAAAAAAATTCTTAGCGCTATAGAGTTGCACTCTCAGCCTCAATCTCCCAGGATTAACAGGCACGACAAGCTCTATTGCATGTCCCCACGTTGGGCATTTACAGGACGTCACAGTCGAAGATCGAAATTTGGGCGACCCGGCGAGATACGAGCGTCCGCGAGCATTCGACTTTATGTCGCATAGTCCCACGACACAATAGGCATCAACGGACTGGGGGCTCTCGAGGTTGCGAGCTCCCACGACCTCCACGCACAATCGCTTCCTATTCATCAAGTAGCTCGACAGTGAATAATAATTTCAAAATGGATAGGCGTCTTCTAAGAAGTTGTATAAGGGAAAGATACGGTCGAAGCTGACTTACTGATGCCGCATAGCGATAAACTGCGCGCTAATGTCCACTAGTTGAAGAAAAGCGTTATGATAGTTTTGTCAGTAGACGCATATTTCTTCAAGATGCGACCTGGCGTTGGATGCCAGTTAGAGCATCAGATGAGCCAACTCATATCAGAGACATCTGGTAAAATGGGACATTATACCCATTTTGTGCTTGACGTAATTAAAAATTTGAGATGAAGGAAAAAGTGGTACGAGCGCTACAGCACGTCGCCGAAATCTTGGTGGGCAACTTCGCCGTGTCACTCCAAAACGAACTACGCTTTATGGTAGGACAATTTTGGTAATTGCACTTCAGTAGCGCTAACTCAATGCATTAGGCGGATGCGATGGGATCATCGTGCGCAACCGCGATGAGGGTGCAAGGCGTGCCGATGGCGCAAGCGATCAAGCACACTGCAGGCACTGTGGCGCGTCTTTGAACGGAGTGCTGATGTTAACTCAGGGAAATGTTACGGAGGAAGATATATGTACCTAAAAGTATTAAATTGACTGCCTCACTAAATTAAATATGCAACGAACTGAATATCACTTAAGCAAAGGTGTCGCCTTTGCACTACTCCCACCTGCAGTCCATCGCAATAATGCCCCATTCATGGCATCTTCAGCAAGCGCGGATGCAATTCGCCGCTGGAGCAAAGCTGAAGTTTTTTCATACTTGGCAGCTACGGTTGCTTGCGCCTCGACTAGGCATTTATTGGAATAGTGTTTAAACACCACCGCTAAAAGTCGTGTCTGTAGCAGCACATTTTTGGTGTCAAGGCTGATGCCCATGGCATTCGTAAGCATGTCTTCACCTTGCTCCAGCTTTCCGAGGGCCACTAGCCGCAGTCCAAACAGCGCCATGATCTCGGATGTGGTTTCACAGCATATTACATTCGTGGTCAGGTGCTGGAGAGCCTCGTGGAGAAGCGTCAAAGCTTTTGGCCGAAGTCCCTCAAGTTTAAAGTGCTCAATATAATTTTCTCCGTGACCACCAGACAATTCTTCTGTAGCCCACATCCATTTAACGAGAGCAAGATTGAACTATCAATATAAGAGTCGTTTCTCAGATCAATCATTAAACTGCAATCACGCATCAAAAGCGTGGCATACCTTTGCTTGCAACTCGACACTGCAGCACTTGTTCATCTGGTTTTGCAAAGTGTCCAAGTTTATGTTGCGAGCTGCCCAATCTAACAAGATGCGGGATGGATAAATTTGTTTCGCTGGTTCAATCGTCGAGGAATCGTTGCATGCTAGTGTTGGATCAGTAGCTAGACCGCAGCAATACATTGTCACTTCAAGCATGTCGACCCACACAGCTAGATAAGAATCAGGATACAACTCTTCACCGTCCGTAGGGGTAGGCAGCACCTTATCTACAACGTGATTTAGATGTGCACATGCATCTTTCACTTTTCCGATCGCTGTAGCATACTGCGCAATGGACATAGTACCAAAATCAAAATGAACAGATGAGAAGGACTTATAGTTGTATAGGCGAGACATTAACATCGTACCTTTGCGATCAAGGAGTGACAGCGCGCGAGGAAGTAGCGATAGAATATGGTGCGTTCCAAGTCAACCTTATACGTTGCAAATAATGTTGTCATCTGTACAATGCTTGCTCCCATCTCTGCGTATCGACATTGTAAGCCCAACAGCTTGCAGTACAGATGCAGCATGTCGAACAATGTCGCAATAAGCATTAATCGAACTGCTGGATGCTGGTCGTATGTTTTCAAATTTGTTTGGGCTGAGAGAATAGTATTCATCGCTAGATCAAGCGCCAGCTTCGGATCAGAATACGCTAAGGCAGACGCTCGCATCGATTTCAAAATAGTGTCAAAGTACGCATTCTTGATAGCGCTAGTAGGCTGTTCACTTGTGTTTCGAGACAAAATTTGAATTTGCTCCAATAATGGCGCAATTTTTGTAACCTTCCCAACTCTACAAAATGATCAGAGGTAAGCTTATCTTTTGAGAGAGCGATCGTGACAAACTTACCGCAAATAGTAAAAGACAGTGATTATTGAATGGTGAATGCGAATGTCTCGTGAAATCGAAATCTCAATCGCCACTTTGTCAAAAAAGTCCTGGCCAAAATCAATTAATTGGTGCATTTCGGCGGTACTTCCAGGCTGAAATGACGAGATAGCTGTATGACAAGTCACCTCCACTAGCCATAGCTGTACAATGAAGCAGTACAGAGCGTCAGCATCACAAAAGAATCTACTTGCACTTTCATAGTACAGATTCCGTTTTAACGTCTTACCAAAAAATTCTTGTCGACATAGTTTGGTAGCGCCATTCGCAGATATTTTAAGCTTTCCACAAAAGCACTGCTGACACCGCCGACTCCAGAATACTTCGCTGAGAAAGTGGCAAAATGCATTTTCACCAAACAAGCCTTCAACTTAACACTAAAGTATCTGTGAAATTTGCCGGCAAGCTCGGAATTTCCGCTTTCACCTTCTGCACAGCTCTTGAGACCCTCGCACAAAATCTCCAGTATTCGCCGATTCTTTTCCGACCTTTCGGCCTTAAGTTGTTGCTGCAGCAAAAATTTGACCTTTACAAGCCGCAGCTTATTGCCAACCTAAAAAGCTCTCATAATGACGTCTTAATATCAGGATATTAAGCGCTAACAACAACAACTGAACCGTAAAGACTTACGGTACAAGGGACTCCACGTGCTATAGCAGAGTCAGCAGAATCAATGCATTTCTCTGTTTTGGCCACTCGGCGCGCCCAGATATCACGATTATTAACCTTTTTACTGTTGCTGCAAGCAACACTACATATCTCAGCCAACAGTATATTCGCTTGTAGTAAAATTGCTTGAACTTTAGGAGTGCGGACGCTGCAATCAATGGAACACAGAGGCTGTGGTCGACAGTTAGATTTATACTGACATAGTATTCCTTTATTCAGGGTGTGCTACCACCAACCCACCTCCAGGCATTGCGCCGTCTGCGTTGTCAAATTTCTTTGTGCTAATAAGCAGGATAAATTCCAAAGCTGCTGCACATCATCGTCTTGCAATTCTGCCATTTCACCAAATGTCACTCAATCGCGGTTAGACAAAGCTGATAACAGTGACTAATATTCTCTGATGCATCAGGCATGGGCGCTGCTCAGTGACGATGGCAGTAGCTCAGATGACTCAGAGCAAAGCGTGGATGTGGCCTTTCTTATTGATTGTATCTTGTATGCGCTGGTGGCGTGCGCAGCAGGGGTCCAGCTCGTGCGCAATTTGTGCCGTTACCGCCCATGGACAGTTCAAAAGATGATACACCTGCTCATGTTCTTTGCGGCTTTTGGTGAGATTATAGCTTCACAAGCCTTTGGAGTTCTATTCTTCTCATGGATGGTGTGACATATGTTTGTGCAGTGCGCTCAGTGTTTTTGGCATTGATTGCTTCGAATTGGTGCGATGTGTTGAGCGGAGAGGTCAGTATTGCCAATTGCTCGACTAGTGAGCGAGATTGGTTTTACATCATGGACCAAGTGCCAATTCTGGCCTTTTTTGCAATAAATGCGCTACTGGCTCAATTTTGGGCGGGTGTGTACTACAACGCAGTGGACCAATTGGCGACGCAGACAAATGTAGTTAAACCTGCAATACGATGGTTTGTTGTGGTATGTATTGGACATGTATCGGTAGCAATAGTTTGTGCTTCGGTATCATGGCTCTAACTATAAATATGTGTGATTCAGGTGGTAATGATAATTCAAGGACTCTTCTGGGTATTTTACGCTTCTGTGTGGCGAAACGAGCGTGCGTGAATAAGTATATTTGGAGCCGCGTTTTAGATTGTAATAGATGTGATGCTCACCATGCAGGTGCATTCTTTACGAGATCACAAGCAGTCTTGAACATGGAAATCTTTATGATTATAGCTATCGGATTTATTTATTATGGTCGAAAGGCTTACCTTCAACTGCGGTAGGCTAGAGGAACTTTGATTGTTAGATATTGATTGATCACATCGTGTTGTTATGATGTAGATCTGTGCCAGTGGAGCTTAAAATTCGATCGAAAAAGCTTAATGAACTGGCAACTATGACCTCAATCGGCACGTTTTGTTTCATGACTCGCTGCGGGTTGCAGATCTTTTTGTCGACGGAGAAAAGACAGTTACATGATCATAGCACGTGGCTTGTAGTCGTAGTTTACTACGCTCTATTAGAAATCGTGCCGGCGCTATCAGTGCTCTATTTCAATCGTCGACTTCCTATCCGCCGGAGACCCTCAAAGGCAAGTCCCATTCGAGGTGGCACGCTTTTTCTTAGCCAGGGTATTGGCATCGATAGTGCAACGGACCGAGAAGATTCGATGAGAAAGAGTTTGCTTCGCGGGTGAATGCGCCGTGCTTCGCATTTTTTTTGTTTTTGATGCCTTGACGTGAACGCTTTTTGGCATCGTAAACGCGAAGTTTTAATTGTTCTAGCTGAGTTTGCATACAAATATTGCGATGCCATTTTTTTGCCATCGTACACATAATTCAGCGCTCTTAGCTCAAACAAGTAGATTTTAGGTGAGTACTGTTCGGCACAGCCACTTCATTAAGATAATAGCTGAAAAAGCAGTTTGCGAATTGATTTTTTCAGTCATTGCTATCGCAGTTAGTAACACTTATATTTTTTCAGTCTAAAACTGCTGCAATTAAAAATTGCGTAGCACCTTCTGTGCTTATTGTTCGCCCGACACTTCTACAAGTAGCTCAAGCATGCGATCATTCTCCTCACGAGATCCAATTGTAGCACGAAGGCAGTCAGTAAGCAAGTGCTGATTGCCACGATAGCGAATCACAACTCCACGGTTTGCCATTTGCCGGTAAACAGTGAGTGCGTGCGGAATCTGGTGACATATTTTGCCCACGTAATTCAATTACAAGTCTAAAAAGTGTCGATGCAAAGCTTATTCTTGCTTACCTCAAAAAGTACAAAGTTGGAGTCGGAGGCAAAAATACGACGTACAAAACTCAGCTTTTGCAGCTCCTTGATTACCCGATCTTTTTCCTGTGTCGTCAAATCCACCAACTTTTATTTCAAGCATATTCAACTTGCGCCAATAGTATACGCATACCTCTCTGATAAGTGTCACATTCTTGCGTAATTGATCCAAATTTGACAACGCTTTGCGTGCTACATCCGACGTCAACTTGCTGATATTATATGGTGCCTTTACGTTGTTCAGCACCCGAATCAGTTTTGGGTCACCGAAAGCAATGCCAAGTCGAATACCGGCAAGCCCAAAGCCCTTTGAAAGCGTCTGAAGCACAATTAGCCTCTTATACTTGTTTACAATTGAACACAGACCAGGAGCGTCAGCGAAGTCAATGTAAGCTTCGTCTACTACCACAAAGCCCTTGTACTTCTATATTCACGCAAATGAAGAATGTAGCGAAATAAAATTTGTGTATCGTAAAGCCCATATGTGTATGTTTACCTTTGAATGAAGTATCGACTCCACATCCTTTAAACGCAAAATGTTCGCCGTGGGATTGCCCGGGCTGCACAAAAAAATTATTTTTGTATTCGACGTGGTAGAATTCAGAATCTAAAGCAAGCAGATAGAATAGGATCGATGCAAGCATAGAAGCAATCAAATTACATCTCACTTTCGTCGGATCAATGTGGAATACAGGCAGTGGAAGGTCGGCGTTTAGTCCATCTGGGTTCTCTGCTGGACACTCAATTTGCAGTGGTACTGATACAATATTCACATCGTGGATATTCGCACAAACGCTATACATGCCGTATGTAGGCGGTGTGATTATAATGCTGTCCACACGAGGAGTGCAAGCTACGCGAATGATTAAGTCGATGGCCTCATCACTTCCAACGCCAAGGAATATATTTGCCTCACTGATTCCGTAAGCCGAGCCTTGATTCCTGCGAAAACATCGCCGCAATAAATAAGGCGATAGTCTAACATTCCTAAGCCTAAGCTGGTGCACCTGAAGTTTGCAATTGCCTTTTTCAACTCAGATTGGTACGGACACGGGTAGCGCTCTAGTTCCATGGCTTGATACTGTTTGTGGCCCTGCAGCGGTGGTCCTAGACTATTTTCATTAGCATCCAGTAAAACACCTGCGATCAAAGCGATTAAAATCCGCTTTGAGTGTGCTATTGTACTGATTTACCTTGGTCATAGTCGTCCCTGGCACATCGGTACGGAGTGAGATCCAAAATGTTTGTTCGAATAAGGCGTTCCACCTCGTCTGCATCCTTGGCGAGCTCCTTTACTGTATCAGAGCGGTTGACAGTAGGCTGGGCCTTGCCAAGTAGATAGCCAACACCCAGGCCAGCGGTCACTCCCAGCGCTACGGCACTGCGCGTGTCCATTTTGTGAAATAGTAAATTCAAATCCAAAAAATGACACTTATATAACATCAGTGGCTAGATGGCTCACATACAAAACACCTTCCCTTTATTATGAAAGAAGAATCCAAAAGTAAAGTATTGCAAACACGCAACACCACATTTGTTCTCTTCCAAACGATAGCGGAATGAGTTGTATTCAAGAACTAGTTTGATCTGGCTCAAACGCGAAAAAAAGAATTAGGCTTCTACCATTTCAATCGACGGGGATGGATGATGATGGAATGGCCGCGATTTGAGGACACATCAATGAAATCACGAGGTGCGCTACTTCGCTGATTAATCAATAAGATTTTTTAGCGGTGCGAGTCACAATCGTGGAAGATGTTTCTGCTGCCATTTTTTCATCATTTAAAAGTAAAGCAAATTACCATTCAGGTATACTCCGTTCGGGTGTGTATTTTTTTGGCAATGACAAATAAATTGTGCGAAAGTTTGCAAATGTATGAAGCGTTGCCATGCGGCGTGACGCCATACCTGGTCTGGCGATCTACAAGACTCTCAAGGATCATTTGTCGCACCTCATTTGACAGAAGGAAGTAAGCTAAGCTAGGTAGAGTGCGACGAGGTAACAACATGAGTCCACATCAACAAACGCAAAAAGATTTTTTGCCAGAATGTGGACCTAAAATGACACACCCAGATTACATCAACTTTTTTCTGAAGGTAATCTTAAATGGTAGAAAATCGATTTCATCGGTACCAGTTCCAATACGCGTAGTTAGACAAATATACTTAATAATGGTCCAATTGTACAATCATAATCATTAAAAGCAGAGCAACCAAGACGGCAGATGCTCTCGTTTAAGTTTCTCGTAGGAGCGTACAAACCCAACCTCAGTGCCTTTGTTAGCGCGGAATCTCAGAATCTAAGCTTCTTCTGTGAAAAGTGCACGGTAACGCCGACTCACGGCATCCCGCGGCCAGCTCATTAGGAAGCTGCCCAACCCTCCAATACAACAATGACTCTTACTAGCGTATCTTGCAGAGAATGCTGTTGTTTCAAAGGCCAGTATCAGCATTGACAACAAAGTATTCATTTTAGTGCGTATTTCAATTTATGCGGTTGACGGCAAGCTGTGCAGCGGGGCTGCCGTAGCGTCGCGCTTAGAGGAAGCGCAATTTAGGTCACCGACCTTTCGTTCTATACTCAAAGCAAGCACGAGTTAGCAGATAAC